ATCCTCTCCAGTACAGTCAGCCAACACTGCATGATGTCCCCTGGGACACAGGAGCATGGTTCTAAAAGTACCATGGCCCAGGCAGAAACAGAAGAGCCTAGGGCAGAGTGGGCAAACTTTTTGACTCGACGGCCACAATGGGTTCTTAAACTGGACCTGAGGGCCGGAACAAAAGCATGGATGGAGTGTTTGTGTGAACTAATATAAATTCAAAGTAAACATCATTACATAAAAGGGTACGGTCTTTTTTTTTTTTTTTTTTTTTTTTTTAGTTTTATTCATTTCAAACGGGCCGGATCCGGCCCACGGGCCGTAGTTTGCCCACGGCTGGCCTAGGGGGTCACAGGAGACACACACATGTGCCATCACAGTAAAACCATGATGATAAATGTTTAGGATCTGATTTTATAAAGTGCAGAATCCTCTGTTCTTCACTATGTATAGTAAGTTAACAATGGCATAAAGGTCATCAGAAAAATAAAAAACATAAGATAACAAATTTCTTAAATTTAAAGAAGTATAGATCACACAATCAAAATAATGTGGTAGAGCAAGTATCAGAATGTTTGACAAGCATTTGATTACAATTTTATTTACTAAATTTCTGAGTCTATGAATAGTAAAGGAAAAAAAAAATATCCAGAAAACAGAGTTCCCACAAACTTTCCTAAATTTTATTCCATTATGTACCAAAAGGTTAATTAGAATCTATACTAATAAAAGGGTAATATGCTAATTAGAGTGGATGTCTTCTGGATGTCCATCCAGACAAAGCCACAGAAGCTGCGAGGCCCAGGGCTCAGGCAGCCATGGGCTCAGGCAGCAGCAGGTGGGTGATGCGGGCAGCGCCTTCCCCTGATCACCCCGGTCGCCTCCCGCAGAGGGAAGCCAGACTGCGGCTTAGGCCTGTTCCCTGTGGCTGAGGGGGACCCCCCCCCCACCATAGTGCACAAATTTTTGTGCACCGGGCCTCTAGTATTATATATTTCTGCATTTTGAGCAATACAGAAAACCATCAGGCATCTTGGTAAGTGTCTGCTTTACTTGCTTACTGAGAGATGTATGGGTAGTCCACACCTGATAAGTGAATTTGATTGAGTAAATGTTAATGCAATAAAACTGCCATACAGTTATAACTGATAATGAGGAGGAAAAACAAACAAAACCTAAGTATTGGAAACCCAAATCATATAATATGTTGTTCACATGCTTCAGTTGTGTTCAGAAAATTAAAACCATCAATAACATGAAGAGAATGACTGGCCATTATTAGACAGTGATTCACTTCTATTCTTCAACCACAGAGAACTTCAGCTGAATACTGATTTTAGCATTGGCATTTGTCATTCATTCAAAATGTGTACCCTGCACACATCTGTGATATGGACACTAAAAATCCAAATGGACAATGAAAGAAAGAAAAGCAAGCAAATCTACAGCCCATGATAGGCTGGTAGGTTAATGGAAACCTGACCCTGGTTTACAATCACTAAAGGATATGTAAAAAAGAAAGATTATATCATACACTTGAATAGTCAAAACCTCCAAAAGTTATCAGAAAATGCTGGTTAAATTCACGGTTTTACAGCAATTATTTAAATATCTAAATACACACACACACACACACACACACACACACTTATTTTGTAAGAATCTTCAACGCCTCAAAGTTGATAATATGAAATGTGGAACTATAACAATTTAATGACACCCCAGGACTTGACGCCAGGCATTTTACAAGACAGACTATGCTGTCAACACAAGAGATGTCTTCAGACAACTCAGGCTTGACCTGGGCCATGAGAAATAAGTAACCTACAGAACAGGGCAAAGAAAAAAAAAGGTTAGCACAAAGATCAGGAGCATGCTGGGGCACCAGAGACAGTAAGACAGTCAGCTGGAGCAGTCTTATGCACCTTTGCCAGGTTAAGGCTGTCATTTTTCTGAAAGTAAACACTCAGCAACAGTTTGACATGAGAAAACAAGCTTAAATGGAAATGGTAGAAGTGGTAACGTCACAGAAGCAAAGGGGTTGGATTGACTGGAAAAAAATTAACTGAACTCAATGACTCAAATATAGACAGCTGCAAATCATACATGAAAACATGCACACCAGTGTAAAGTAATAACCGTAAAAAGCATTGGGTGAAAAACATGAGGATATCTCAGACGTATGTTCAAGTTCTTTTGTGCTAAGAGCAAATGCATTACCACGACATATATTCAAGTGACAAAGATTAAAATCCCAAACACACATGCAACAGCATGGAGCCTTGTTATACCTACCAACTCAGGGGTTGTGGAACTTCAACTTTCTGACCATCCACCTCCAGGTCCTCCAATTCCTTGAAATACTTGTTCTTTAAACAATGTAGAATCTCTTTTGCATGGCTATTAAAAAAAAAAAAAGCAAGTTTCAAACCAACCTGAAAGGCTAATACCATTTATCTTTTGGTGAATTCAAGATTTCAAGTGATTTAAAACTAAAACCACCTTTGCATGGAGAGAAGACATTCTTTTATCGCTGCCTCTTTATTCCTTCAAAGCTAAACAATACTCACTGTTTAATCACTAAAGGATGACAAACTAAATACACTACTACTGCATTCCTTCCCTCCTAAATATTCCTATAGTTCCATTTTTGCTTGCAACTCATCTTGGAAGGATATTAACTACAAAAAATGTATACACTTAGAGTAATTATAAAAGGCAGTGTTTATTAAAATAATTTCGTTTTCAACATGTGCATATACACCTTTGGGAGGGGGACGACACCCTATGTATCCTATATAATAAAAGACTAATATGCAAAGCAACTGAACAGCGGAATGACTGGTCGCTATGCACTGACCACCAGGGGGCAGACACTCAACACAGGAGCTGCCCCCTGGTGGTCAGTGCACTCCTACAGGGGGCGTGGCTCAGCCAAAAGCCCTGAGCCAGGCTCACAGCTGGCAAATGCACCTGCGGTGCCAGAAGTCTCTCCCCCTCCACAGAGGTGCTAAGGATATCTCCCAGGAGCGGACCTAAGCTGGCAGTCAGACATCTCTTGAGGGCTCCTGGACTGAGAGAGGGTGCATGCTGGGCTGAGGAACTGCTCTCTGCCCCAGTGCACGAATTTTTTTTTTTTCCAGGACAATAGTTTATTTACAAAACCGCAACTCAGTCTGTTTTGGCATCATTATTGACAAAACACCTACAGTTGAGATACTAGTTGAGGCTATAAAATGATTTTAGCTATACATAAAACCAGAATCCAACACTATCCCAGTTTCCTACTTCTGTGTGGCTCCGAATGTAGCTTGCAAAAGAACAAACTCTCTTCATAATGCACAAGGGCTTAAACAAACCACTTCTTTAGATTTTGTTTTTTTATTTAAGGGTTGGGACTGAGACTATTCATTCAAAATTTGCTATTTACAGAGAAAGCCCTAGAGAATGAGGTAACTTAAAGACAGAGGCTTGGTTTATCTGGCTTTCATAATACAATATCCATATGACTTTAGAAGAAGGCAAATAAATAATATTGGTACACAGTATATATTGATAATTTTCTGACAAATTCATTTATCTAACATCATGCTGAGGAATCAAGAGGATTTCTCCATACATTTAAAAATGTGTTATATTTGTTGAGTCACAAAGTCTTGTTCCACATTAAAGTAGTTGTCACCAAAATAACATATGATAACTAGTACCCATGGAAACCTATCAGCTTGTTTTTTAAAATTCTCTGTTAAGGCTTATTTCCAAGTTGAGCATCACATATGTATACATGGTTATATGTGTGGATACTAATGCCCCTTATTCAGAAATTCACGAATTTCGTGCACTGGTCCTCTAGGATTAGATAGATAGATAGATAGATAGATAGGGAGACAGAAGCTTTATCCAAACTCGGTAATGTCAGAAATTTTCATGAGTTCCAAAGGGTAAGCGTCCTTGGCTCACGAACCCCCAGGGGGTCCACCCTTTCTCAGTTTGCTTTTTCATTTCCTATTCCAGCCTCCCACCTCACAGGCCTCCTGGCCTCCCTGACCTACCCCACTGGACCCTGCGCTCCCTCCTCCATTCTTCAAGACTCTAGGATCCACACCGCTGACTTGCGGTGGTTACCCAGCACTTTAACTCTTCTCAGGAAAACACTCGTTTTTAAAATTCAACCTTAGGCATCCCAACCCTTGAGGAAATAAATGCACGGCCCCTTTTACCTCTTGTAACCAGTAATTCTTAAGGTGGCCGGGAGGGGCTCCCTGAGCGCTGCCATGAATTGGTCCCACTCGCCCTCTGGTACGATCTTGAGCTCCTGGTAGTAGTGCTCGAAGAGCTTGTTCTCCTTGACGATCTCGGGGTACCCGCCTTCCCAGCCCTGAGGAAAAAGGGGTTATTACTCAGGCTTCGGGGAGCCGCCCCACAGGTCTCGGGGTCTGGGAGGCCCACGTGGGCGCGGCCCGCCTGGCCCCGGCTCCTACCGCGTCATGGCGCTTTCCGGCGCCCTCGGCGCCGTCCTCCGTTCCCTCGGGCCGCCGTTGCTGCTGCTGCTGCTGGAGCCGCCTGCACCGCGCCCGCCGCCCCATGGCCCACGCGGTCGCGCACGCTGCCCGCACCCACCGACCCGCCACCGTCGGCAGCGCGTACTTCCGGGTTGCAGCTCAAGGCCCCCCGCAGGTGCGCTCCGCCTCTCCCGGGCCTGCAGGAAACTTCAAGACTCAAGTGATAAGCACTGAGACCCCTAAGCCCAGAAAACAACGAGCGAAGGGATCCGTTGACAGCCTGAGTGTGAAAGTGGCAAAAGAGAGCAGCCCCAAAGAGTCTCTGAGTCGGGCGCTAGGGTTCTCCGCGTTGCCTCAGGCAGCTCCGCGGACAGCCCGAGGTCGCGCATGCGCAGAGCGGCGAGAGCGCGGCGCCCCGGAGGCGGGGTTCTGTCGCGTGGGCGGGGCGGAAGGCCTGCAGGCCCGCCTCCCGTTCCGCCTCCCGTTCCGCCCCCGGCGCACCGCGCGCGGGGTGACTGGTGGGACTGGCCCCAGCGGCGCACCCCGCCGCTCAAACCTGCCCGGGAAGAGCCGCTTGCGCCCCGGGCGCCGGCGGCCCACCCCAGCCTCAGGTAACCGCGCCTCCCAACCACTCACCGCCCTGCCACCGCCTATATGTGGCCCGTCACGGTCGCCCAGCAATGGAGCGAGCCTGCCGTCCTCCGTGATGGAGCTGGCGGAGCGGTTCCTGCTCGACGCGCTCGCCTACCTTGAGTGCGCCTTTGGCTTCGTGGCCTTCGTGCTGCTCACGCTGGTGGGCTCGCCCTATGGGCGCTACGCGTCGCAGCGCTCGGCCTGGCGGCTGGCGGCGCCTACCGCCTGGTTGGTGCAGGAGCTGCCCTCGTTGGTCGTGCCGCTCTTCGTGTGCTTCGGCACGGGCTGCCGAGCGCCTCCGCCACTGGCCCAACCGCGTCCTCCTGGCCATGTTCCTCGTCCACTACATACAACGGTAACGGCCGGCGGTCCCGCGCCCTTCCCTGCGCCCCCGACCCGCTTCCCTCTGCTTTGCGCCCGGCTCTCCTTTTTTCCTGCGCCCCTGGCCCGCCTTCCTCC